AAAGAAAATACTGATTTTATTCCCTCGGCGCGGCTACTGATCTTCAATTATGCTCGGCGATCTGCTGTTCTCTCTCGTTCCGTACTCCCTAGTCGCCGCTGAGGCCCTGTTCACTTCCATTTTTCGTTTCCTGTTTTCTGTTTTCATGTGATAAATTTGGCAACCGAAATGAGAAAACTTGTTTACTTTTCATTCTGTTTTCTATTCGTTTCCAACTATGAAAATAGAACGTGGCAACTTCCTGCTGTTTTCGGAAACGACAAAATGTTGTTTTCACCTGTTTTCAACATCTGTTTTCTCAAAAACAGGAAACAGAAATGAAAGTAAACAGGTTTCTCTCGCTGCGCTACTCCCAGCCGTTCTCCATCTAATTTTGTTCGAGCCCAAAAGAGTTCCACCGAAAATCTCCTCTCCAATTGAAAGATTTCCTTCCCTCTTTTTCTCCTGTTCCGTGTCCCTTTATTCCCCAGCTAATTCCCTTCGGTCCAAAGAAATTTCAACTCTCACCCTTCAATTCCCTGACCGCCACCCTTTTTCTGGGCCAACTAATTTCATATCATCCCCTACAATTCTCCCGGTCCAAGACTCCAGAAGAGACAAACCACTTGGTCCCCGGTCCAAGTCCAATTCCCCAACTCAATTTCGGGTCCAATTACATCTTGTGGGTTGACAGGCTGGTTTCAAGTGGGCTGGCTGGTTGCTACATAATCAGATACCAAACTGATGAGAGTATTTTCAGTTTGGGCTTTTGATTTTTTCTTTTTCGTTGTAGGTTTCCTTTGAGTTTGGGGTTGGGGTAGCCGAGTAGGAGACGAATTTCGGTTAGGATTAGGTTAAGTATTAGGCTTTTCTAAGCCTATAAATATATAATTTTGGCATTAGTTCCGTATCGAATAATAAAGTTATGGTTTATCGACACCAATGTCGTTCTCTCGCTTGTGAGTTACAAGCAAAACTCCTGAACCGAGAGTTTCGGTTCATCAATTGGTATCAATGTCTGGTTCCGAATTCGTTTGGGACCTAATCGCAATGTGTACGTGCACGGCCGTGGAACGATGCTCAACGCTGGAAGCTGCCATGGAAGAGCTACATGTCCTAGTCCAAACCAATTCGGCCAGTTCGGAGGAGGTGAAGGAGCAGGTGCGGGACATGGCGAAGGTCTTTAAGACCCTGGTGGCCAAGGTTGAGGCGTTGACACCGCAACGGAAAGAGAAGAAAGTGGTGATGGTCAAAGCAGTCAAGATCGGGATTTTGATTGTAAAATCATAGGATTTTAGGATTTTACTTAGGGATTCCGATCTTGATTTTACTATAAAATCGGTGGACCTTAAAATCGTTTAAAATCGGGATTAAAATCGTAATATCCTACCAAAATCGGGATTAAAATCGAATGAGAACAAAATAGGTTGTTTGAGCAAATTTTAAAAAAGCGAACTGATTTGGCAGAAAGGGGAATGATGAGGATCTTCTCAAATATTTTTCCTGTTAAAAAACATTTGAAAAGAAAAAAATAACCAAATTATGGCTCGGTCATTCTCTTTCCCTTCATCTCGTTGAACTCATCGGCAAAATTGCTTTCCTAATATTGTACGTGCGGAAGAATCAATATCATTATTAACTCATTAATTGATTAATGAATACATTTTTGCCAAGCCACTAGCATTAATTACTCAATTGGAGTTCACATATTATTAGTTTTAAATCATGATTAACAGACAATGTTGAAACTAACCTAATCGGAGTACTACTTTGAGTTAAACTACCTAAACACAACATGAAAAACAAGAGCCAAGCTCCATGAGCTCTATCATTTCCTCGTGAATTATTTTAGTTACGCATTACAACAATTAAAATGATGATCTTGAAACATTAATCTTGAGAATTATCATTTTCAATGTTATGTGCCTTTGTGTTGGTAATGGTTTACCTTATTAATATGATTATATGTTAGTTTCTATATGGAACTTAAAATGATAGATGTATTATTCATGTGATTGTGCATGCTCGTGCTTAGCAACCTAGGGGTTGTGCATGTTTTGTGTTTAGCATCCTTAGGTTTGTGCATTTTGGTGCTTAGAAACCTAAGGATTGTGCATAATTGTGCTTAGCACCCTTAGGTTTGTGCATGTTGGTGCTAGCAATCTAATTAGCCACCTTAACCTAGCTTAGAGAGGAAAATCCCCCTTCCAAGGGAGACTCAATCGAGTTGGTTTTCCTTCAGCTTTTTAAGCCACCTAACTAGGTTAATTTATGGCAAACCTCAATGTTGAATTAAGAAAATTGGTTAAGCGCGATTAAGCCGTCCAACCCTTGAGTTGAGTGAGTGAGTAAGTCAACCTTCAATTTCCTAAACCGAGAGGGTTGAGTGACACGGCCTATAATGTTTACCTCGGTTTAGCAATTGAGATTGTGGTCTACTACCATATATGCATCCCTCTAAGGTTCGCAATTACCTTGCCTATAACAATCGTTCCAATCCAACGAGTCTTGGTAGCTACTTAGGGGGAAGAAACTCTTGGGTGAAGCTCCCTTAGTTAGAGTTTTCCTTTATTTACTTTTCCTTGCTTGTTTAGTTTGTAGTTCCATTAGCTATAAACCGTGAACTTCCTCGGATAGCCGTGAACTGGCCCTTTTTCACCTCTTCTCCCAGTTTTTTATCCTTTTCGTCCAACTTTCGACTCCGAGGCTGGTTTAACCTGATAAACCCTGAAACACACTAAAACACGAGGAACCCAGCATAAAACCAACCCTTTAGGAGTGAATTTGGCACAAACACCTAAGTCAAACGGGGGCAAAACATGTACAATTTGACCCGAATCAATAACAATCCTTGACCTAACAGTTAAGAGAGCTAGTTCCCCTAGCTTATATTTGTTGATTTTCCTTCATTGATCGACTAAGGGAGTTGGTCCCTAGATAGTTGCGCCCACCTCACGGTGTATGAGCACGTCCTTCACACTAGAGCTCTGTTTGCCGCTTCTTAGCATGAGACTAGGGGGAGCATTACCCAGGTGAAGTCCCCTCAAGTAGAATTCTCCTCGATTAATTTCCTTGTGTGTTCATTTTGTTGTTTTCTTAGTTTTAAACCCAAAAACGTTTGCTAAATAACAAACTTAAGCGATTGAAGTAGGGGTACATGGATCGGCCCCGGTTGACAATTTAAATACTTGCCCTATACTGCACCCGACTAGAGTTTAAAAACTTGGGCTCTAGTCGGGATTAATTCGCAGTGTAGTTTCGTGCGAGTCATTTGACGTGAGATATGCATGGACCGGTTAACTAGTGGATCTGCATTGATTTCGGATTGTTTGTGATGGATGAGTGAAATGTGAATTGTTTGATTCATTATCATATTAATTCACATAGACGTAGAACGGCATGCACTTTTACCCCCAGATGATTATGTGTTTGTGTAGATCTAGCTCGCTTCTGCACGTGATTATTGTGCAGGTTGCATGAAACCGCGGATGATGATGATTTGCTCGAGCGGGGGTAAGTGCATGGTGACCTTGGCGCTATTAATAATTAATCGAATTTTGATACCATGCATTGATTATATGTTCGTGAAACTATTTGATTATCATATTGGATAAATTGGTTCGATGATGATGAGTTGATGGATTTGATATATTAATTGATGATTTATATATGATGACTTAGGATGGCATCTAGACTATGCAATTGTGATTGATTATGACTATTTGATTAGCTAATTTCGGTCCCAAAACTATGTCGTGGGAAAGATCCACACATAGTTTTGTTGCTAACCCACGTCTGTTTTTAGGCTCGCAGGTGCAATAAGATCGGACTACTGAGGGTGCCCCATCTTCCAATACTACCATCATGAGATAGTTTAGAATACTGTTCCGCCATGGTCATCTAGAATTTATGCTTTGAGTGTTTTGACTAATAAACCCACGTTTTGTGCAAATTCAATAAGTGGGATGAGGTTTGAATAATGAGTTTGTATGATAACAATATAGGTAGTGTTTTATTATCGGATATAATGTTGAGATGATCGAGTTCAGCCCGTAACATGCGGTTGAACCACGGGTTCATCCCTAGAGATTATGGGTGGGGTGTTACACTTAGGATTCCTTATATTGCTTTCTCCAAAGCTGATGCAAGCCTCCGGAGTGACTCGATTCAAGTGAGAAGAAGGACATACCACGTGGGAACAAGAAGACGGACGAGGCCAAAATCCCCAGCCTGAAGCCGAGATTCCCCGCCCGGATGAATCATCATCATATCACTGGCATATCATGATGTTATGATAGATATAACAGTGATAATAATATAAAGTATAACCAACACATTTTTTGAAGAGTTAATTTTTTTTTACTCGAAATATAACAAAATGAATATCATTGCGTACATCATAATTAATGCATTCTTTCAATAGAAAATTTCCTAAATTCCAAGTTAATACAAACATTGTAGGATACGATTAAGAAAAGGAAAAGTTGCAGGTGTCTTTTCTCTTCTCTAATCGAACAAAAAAAGGTAAAGGGCACAGAGTTACTAGTCAGCTCTTTATCTTTTTTTTTTTTTTTGCTAAATATTTGGAGAATTTTTTGATAAATATCACTAATTTTTTTTGAAAAATGCCACACATTTTTTAAAAATTTAAAAAATACAACTATTTCTCAAAACCCACTTGGAGAGGGTGCGGTTTTTGCTGAAGATCACGTGGGGTTGGGGATGTTCGATTGACCGCGTAGGGTTGTGGCGGTCAAAATGCAAATATTTGGACCAGTAGATGGGAAAAGGGTTAGAGGGTTAATAGTGAGATTTTATAGTAGTTTTGTATTAGTAGGTTTTGTATCGTATCCCTTTCTATAAAAAAGGGTTAAACGAGACGAATGAAATATGTCAAAGAAATTTATAAGACTGCATGGGTGAATGATATTAATGAGGCATCAAATTTATCCTAATCCTAGAGACAAACGGTCGTTAGTTTACAGACGCAACTCTCTTTACAGGGCTGAGACTGCATGATGCTAAAGTTTCTGATTATGATTACTCTTCGCAAAGAACATATCAATGGGGATATGTTTGCCTTCTTGTGGAGTTGTCTTGTGCTTCTTCCGCGTACCTTGAGTCGATGTAGCATCTTTCGAGGCAAACCTGAAACAGAATTCACAGACTTCATGAAGATAGCAGAATTCAGCAAACACAGAATTTATAGTCGAACAAGAAATAGAACCTTTTAAGTGGCAGAGAAGTTCTCGGATTGATGATACTGGTAGATTCCTCCTTCTGAAGCCTCTCGGCAAGATGGAAATCAGAATGTTCTTGTCTTTCCTCGAGGAAATCTGCCGGCATCTCAATCCCACATAGAGAGCACTTATAGTCATCCACCCAATACAAGTGGCCTTTCCATTTGGAAGAAGGACTTGTGTCACTGACCATGATGAACTCATCTTTCAACTTTAACACCTCAGTTTCATCCTTCAGGAGACATGGAATCCATGTCAGAAAGAGCCAGAAAAATTGACAAAAACTAAAACCAGAAAGAAAGAAAGTCGAAAGAACTTGAGAGGAGAATAAAGCTTCTCATTTGCCCTCTCCCAGATTGAACATACCTTGTCTGCAATTTTGCTGCTGGACAACACGCAGATTTCCCCCCATTCATTGTTGACAAAGGTACACTGGCTATCATCATGATTGTAATTAAATGGATCTCCTGATTCATAGTTATGTAATTCACTTCCAACAGGAAAACTTGCTTCAAGTTCATCCATGGAGTGCTGATCAGTATTATGTGCCTTAGAGCTTAGATGTCCCGTCTTTCTCTTGCACGTATCCCTCAATAGAACAAAGTCCGCAAGAGTTTTCTGTGTGGGATCAGATGGACCAACATGCTCGTCTTCACTTAAGTGGGACACTCTCAAACCTGAAAGAAACAGCTCGCCATTCCACGAGATGGACGAAGTAGAAGTTGTGCAAAGTGATATATCGGCCAATTGGTCTAGAAGACTCGCTTAGAAATACATTGCCATTAGAAAACTGTTCTAATAAAAATAAAAAAAGTCAAAGTTACCTATTAGTCTTAAAGAAACAGGAAGCTCAGCCTTCAACAGCTTTGAAGCATATTTCAAGATGTCTTCATTTGAGCTAACAAACTTCTGCAAAGTCACAGCTCTAGTTCGAACCTGATAGTCATCCAAATGTTACATGACAACATTATAACCTTAAATGTCTCCAGCTGATAATAAGGAAGACATGCAATTCCCACAGACAGTCATGACTCATGAATGATGATTCCTGATTCCTGAATCAATTGACAGTGGGGACACTTATCTATTCATTATTATCACCTAAAATGGAAGAACCTCCAGAAGAACAAAGGATAATTCTGAATAAAAAAATATTGACCCATTTAAAATATGTTCCTTCACTGCTTTGCTTCAAATGTTGCAGTCAGTCTCAGATGCTTTCTCTTCCTGCTCCATTTAAAGGGGAAATGCGAATACAAAAATCAAGCAGTACCTCGAAAGATGCAGTTTTCAATTTGAGAGTCAATGTTCGACCACCTAGCCCTTCTTTCTGCATGTCAGCCGACAACATCTCAGCAACCTCAGCTGCATAGTGCCAGTGGTGAACATAACAGAAAAAGTTGGGTAAGTTGAATTGTAATTTACTGTTTCTTATTGGCGATGTACATACTCACAACAAGACAAGTTCATTTTCAGGAAAAGCTTCTCATTGTCAAAATAAACATTGGTTGCTTCTTGTTAACTGTTTCCCAGAAGGTGAAACCTACCCAGATAGTCTTTACCAGTTTACAAAAAGATCACACATGAAGTAGCTTTTCACAAATTTGATTATGCAAATTGATGAGCCAGACTAAATGAATTGCTCAGTCAAGAGTATTCCCTAGCTATGCATCTAAAAGTTACTAAGGTGCTGAGGGGCAGTTACCTAATTTCTGAAAAAGGAGCACTTCATCGTTTGTGGCGGAGAAAGTTCTCTCACTGCTCATACTTTTTCGAGATCTCACCTGGGGGGTTTCTGTCTGGCCAAGCCCAAGTCCCACAGAAAGGAAAAAGTCTGCAGAGTGAGCATTAAAATGTCACCCTGATGAAAATTTGATAAATCATTAAATTCTTGGTTGACTTTAATCTGACTCCATATTGATGATTACATGACAAGAACTAAGTTGGTGCTTTAACCTGCTGCAGAACGAGAAAATAGTGCACAGAGAAGTCCTCCCTTCTGTAGCAAATGCTCACACATGGAAATTTCGAGTACATCTCTCAAAATATGTTCAGTTACCTTGCCAATCCCTCCAATCTGCAAGGTGGATGTTGCATGTTTCACTTCACAACTAATGGAAGGGGATGATTGGTAACAAAACCTCAAAAGATAATGATAGCCAGTACTTTAAGCACTTCAGTGTAAAGGGAATTTACCTTCCTTATTGGAAGTGAGGATATAAATGTCATTACAGCCATTCGGTCATTTGGTAAAACAAACTGCCCATTTGGCTTGTTTATGTCAGAGCAAACCTGTTCAGAACTACAGTCATTGATCCACATACACAATTCCTAAATCTCATATTAAAAACTTTGAAACTGTGAGATGTATGGCCAGTCCTTAATAGCCTTAGAGGATAACTAGAAATAATTAGAAGAGGAATTTGCATGATTAAGAAATGCATAGGTTCTCAAACCTCAGATGTATGTCATAATTAATTTTTCTGTGCTAACACTTAAAAGGGATGTTTGGGACCTGTACGGCTGTACCCATGTCCATGTTCCAGGATTACAAATGGAGGTTATTTAACTGTCTTATTTGCCTCTCAATTATCCAAGCACAGCTTCATATACTATAGAAACTTATTAGGCTGGTTTAAGAGATGAGGTTTGACATAGTGGGCAATTGGATCCCAAAACAGCTTCACTACCCAACTTGACAATTGAGCAAAATTGTTTTGCATATTACTTTCCCTTGAGTAACCTAGAATGCTCTGAATAAGTCATATATGGCCTTCTGTTCAAAGAAAAGACCTTTTCCTGTATGGTATTGACCAATTAAACTCCCATATTGAGTGGCAAACACGACACCGATAGAAAATTTATTTGTTATCTATCACAGTATGCTTGTCTATCTTTACTTCACAATAAGAGAAAAAACAGCAAGGAAGGAATGGCGAAAGAGAAGGAATTCTTTTGTTGGCTGCCATCTAAACGCAAGTAAATAGAATAATAGGGAAACAGAAAACACAAAATGTATAGTGCACCTAAGATATCAGCTGTCGGCTGTTAAAGAGCATAAGAGATGGAACCTTAGCAAGTAAGCGATTTGGACCAATTCCAGCACTACATGTTAAGCCAGTCTCCTCGAAGACGCCTTCCCTGAGCTCTTGAGCAACCTATGCAGGAAATATAAATTCAAAAACAAAGAAATATAATAAAGCAAAGGAAGATGCTACTTTGTATATGATATCCCTATGCTGAAAAGCAACAGGAGAAAATGCTGCAACGTACTTCTGCACCTGAAACGCCTCTTTCTTTGCAGATCTCAGTTATGTCAAGGTATGCTTCATCCAAACTTGCAGCAACGAAATGAGGATCATATTTCTGGTAAACTGAATACAAACTAGAGTTAATGTCCAAATATGCAGGGACTGATATTCAGGATAATGAACGGATCCAAGTAACCAACCTTTTCTAGTCAACTCACTATAATGAGTATACTTCTTGAAATCAGGCGGGACAAAAATTAACTCTGGACATAAACGGCGTGCTATAAACCCAGGCATTGCAGCACGAACACCAAATTTTCGAGCCTACAAAGTGTAGCAAATGAGCCTTAATATGATGCTGATGGATTAATCAAGTACAAGTTGAATATTTAGCAAGAAAGTGAAAAATCAGAACCTCATAATTAGCAGTTGCAATCATTGAAGTGCTTCCGACAGCCATTGGCTCCCCCTTCAATGAAGGGTTGGCTAATGTCTCAACAGCTGCATAGAAAGCATCCATGTCCACATGTAGCCAAGTCCTTGAAAGGTCGCGTGTAGCTTCTAAGTCTATAATTCTTTTATCTGCGACCTGCGAGCATGATACAACATATAAATACAAGTGAATACCCTTCATCAAAGAGTCAGGGAGATTGTCAATCCTTCATACCGAGATTAAGAGTCACCCTAGCACAAGTCACCAGGTAATTTACCTTTTCATAATGAGATATCTCAGCTGGCTTCAGCTTTGCACAGTAGGCCCGCATGCTTTCTACTTTCTGCTTCATAGTGGCCTCTTTTCTTTCCTCATTCTCAAAATACTTTGAGCCCTTGCTCATCTCATAAACTACTCGTTGCACTTTCTCCTTGTCTACTCCATCCATGCCTAAGAATCATATAACACAGAACTTTTAGCCACAGAAAACGGTACACAAAACGGACCCCTTTTTCTCACTTGAGGACCGATCCATATTCTATACCAAACACTACAGTTAATAAACCATTTCAATCCTCGTCAATATTGATATGAGGAAGCCGTTTGGTCACTCTGAAACACTCTCAAACAACCAAGAGGTGCAGCAAATTTTCTGGAAGTTGGTACTCAAGACTGCCATTCTCTGTACGAGGAACCCATAATTCCTATAAAACATTGGGCAAGATACATAAAAAGGAATCGTTCAGTCAATCAATTGACGACAAGGAATAGTAGGGGGTACTGCCGACAGAGAACAAACGAAGTATCCGAGCAAAGGAAGGAACAAAGGTGCTTTATCGTCGATAGATGGGGGATCATATGTTCAATCACCTGCTTTAGCATTGGTGTAGACGGTGTGATAAGATTGCCACGGGGCCGGCTGTTTATCTGCAGTAGATGTCGACGCTTCAGCTTCAGTCGCCATTTCACCCTTCTTCGCAGCAACGATTTATTCTCCTTCCTTCCCACGCTCGTCGTCTGCTTTATGTTCCTTCCGCGAAGAATTGATTCCTGCTCCTATTAATAGAAGAAGAAAGAGGTAAATTTACCAAAAGATTGTTACTATTGCTAGCCCTAAATTTTTAAATTTTGTCGATAGACAAATGGAATTTTTTTGAAAAAACTCAATTAAGTCAGTATGAAAAACAAAAAAATTGGGATCGGACCCATTAACGAATGAAAAAAGATAATTTGAAAAAACACTTTAGATATAATCTTTTATCATATAAATCTCTTAATTATGAAGAAAATTGCAATACAGAAAAAAGACATTTTTTTTATGTAAACCATACAAATTTACAAAACTACAAAAATGTTATGGACCTTTTTTAATGAAAATTCACATAAATTATAACGTTAATGTTAATTAAGTTTCGTTGTTTATTGTGTCTACAAGATATATAAAGACAAAACATGGGTTGGAATTCTCTCATTTCAAATTTGGAGTTCAAACTTTGATCACTTAAATGAGAAAGAGGATTATAACCAACTATGCTACATTGTCTTATTGTTATTTCTTTCATGGGTAAATACAATATATCAGCCACAACTATTATAAAGCGAGGAATTAAAGCCACAAGCCCACAACTATGAAAATTCAAATGATTAGCCATAACTATTATTGCAGTTCAAGATATGACTAACTGTCCGTTACTGTTATTGAATATTTAATGGAGACGGCCACATCATCGGCCACGGCAGCAGCCACGTCGGACTGCTTTTAATTTATAACTTTAAAACATAAAAGTTTAGTTAGTATTACTAACGAAATTATTAACAGATATTTAACGTTTAGCTAATAATTTGAATTTCCATAGTTGTGGCTATAATTCTCCTCTTCATAATAGTTGTGCCTAATATATTGTATTTACCCTTCTTTGATTAAATTGTACAAATATGTTTGGTGATTATGCTTCTATATTTATATTTTATCTTAAGTTATTTATATTTTGTAGAACGATATTAGTTTTGAAATCAGAACTCAAGTAACATTTTTTTTTTCGTTGAATAAGTAACATTGATTCAAACATTAATATTAAATTGTATGTGTAGTTTAGTTTAGACAAATCACAGAAGTGTAACCAATACATGGGCCTTTATGACGAGTATATTCATTTTTTGCGTCAAATATACACATAATATAATGACAAAATTGGAAAATAAGAGTCTCATTTTAAATTTCGTGACCTTAGAGTGATCCTAGGAAGCTTTTTTCGTCATTTCGCCCAATTTATCTTTATATTATGTTAGATTGTCACAAAAACTTATTATATTTGTCACAAGGGTCCATGTTTTAGCTACACATATGTATTTGTCAAAACAAAATCATACATACAATTTAATGTTTAATGTTTCAATCAATATTACTTGAGTTCAGATTTCAGAATTAATCATTTTCTATAAGATATAATAATCTCAGGTAAAATACCTTTCGTACTTGGTTGAAGAAGCTCTTTCTATAAGATACATTTAATGTTTTAAGATTTTCCATTTCCAATTTCTTGAATTGTGAGTGAAAATAAGAAAAGTAAGTTTGTCATCACAATTATTTATCTACTTCCTGTAAAAAAAGTATCAATGTTAAGCTTTGAGCCATGATCCCTTCAAACAAAAATAATAACAACCAATTATACTAAACAAATTTGTTTTATCTTCTTAAATTGTAAACATACACTAAACGAAGATTTGAAAAGCAGAGGACCTTTCCATCACGGTTAGCTAGCCTATTAAATCTTATAAAAAGCCAAGTTTATTACGTGATTTATAATTTTTTATAACCTATACAATTTCGGATAATCTTAAAATTGCAGCCCATATTTCATGGCTTGAAATAATGCATATCGAATTACAGTATTGAATATGCAAAAGCCATGCAAAATTCTATAAATTAACATAAATTTTCATAACTAATCCGAAGCAATAATATTTTGTACAAACTATAGGTGAATGGTTCTCTAAAATTTTAGTCTGGTTAACTGCTAAACATTAAACCTCTTGCTAATCTGCCAATCTGGCATGAATGGACCTACCAATAATGAGACGATATTGAGTTTAATGTCATGTTCATTTCGCCATTTCTAGATGTGTTAATCAATTTATAGGGCATTAACGTATAAATGAGTAATAATTAATCTCATTATACAATTTTTACTCTTTATAAGAATTAATTTTATTTTAATATTTGTGATGCTTGAAATATTTTATGTATGATTGAGAGGTATACTTATTATTTGTGACATTAATGGTAGTTAGTTCAAATTTAGTAAACTTCACCAGGTAGTCAAAATCAAATACTAGGTGCGTTTATGACTGTTTTTTTTATCTTGGTGTTGTGAATGGGTAGAAACTTAATTATTAGAATACATATAATTATACCTAGGCACATGGTACGATGCTCATCACAACATGACTCAGATTTATAATGAGATAGCAAAAATTAGGCGTGAGAGTTGGGTGGGTTGAAACCTACGCGGTGGACATTGATAGAAGCTCAACGTCTTGGCTACTTTATTGAGTGTGAATTTGATGATCAGCGTCGTGTTACTAGACTCTTCCTCTGCCATCCTGAGTCGATTTAGATGTTGTTGGCATGGTATTTTGTTGTTTTGATAGACTCGACGTACAAGACCAACAAGTATAAGCAACCACTGGTTCAGTTGATTGGTGTTAGTCCGGTGAAGAAGAACTTCAACATTGGGTTCGCATTGATTTAAGATGAGACGAAGGAGACATATGCTTGGGTTTTGAAGCAATTGAAGATTGTGCTTGGTGATCGAACCCCGGTTGCGTTCGTCACAGATAAGTAGGGAGGATTGGGTGTCTCTTTGCACTAGATCTTTCCATCTTCAGTTCATTTACTATGTGTGTGGCACATGAAAAAGAACATTGAAGCCAAAATGATGCAGTTGGGGATCGGTCGTGATTCTGCCGAGTTATTTGTAGGAAGTCTATGGGAGAGAGTCTTGTGAGCTAATACTGAGGCAGGGTTCCAACGTCGTTGGCTAGAGTTTCAAAATAGTCATTGGGGTTCAAACAACAGGTTAATGGACTACTTGAGAGGTGAGTGGTTGCCATGCAGGGAAAGGTGGGCAAATTGCTACACCAATCGCATCTTCCATATCGGTAACACGAGCACAAACAGGGTAGAGTCGATGCATTCCTCCTTTAAAAAATGGCTTGCCACTTCGACCCACAAGATCGATACACTCTTCCTCAGGTTTTACACATCCGTCAACGGAAGAATGATTGAATTGAGAAAGGACTTGGAGGATTCACTTCCCAAGGTATTCTCGTTTTTGCTTATTTAATTTGGCATTTCCCTATATCCTCAATTTGATGTTTTGATTAGAAATTCATGATTTGGAATAGGTGTTTGCGTTAGCCTACGGACCGCCATATGTTAACCTGAATACTACAGTGAGCTTGTGAGAAGTTGAGTTACTGATGGAAGAACGAGAGAGGAAAATTGTTCAGCGATGTGGATGTCGGATACCTGAAACACATGGTCTACCATGTAAATGTAAGATGGATGAATTGAGTGCTGCTGGCATGGAGTTGCACCACCACCACTTACATCCATTCTAGTCATCTTTGGTATATGAGAGTCCTCCCGATCTTGCAAAATGGGAAGATCACGATGCCATTGAGTGTGACATTTTTACAGCCATGGTACAAGATGTGTACAAGCAAGGGCCAGCTGCTATCCGAAAGGCAACTCAAGTACTACGCCCTCATATTCTTCCACAGGTTGAAGGCCTACAAGAGCCTAAGGAGTTAGAGGCTCCAAAGGGACGACTACCTAGGAGAAGCAATGCTCGAGATCCTTCCTGGTTTGAGCATGAGAGGGCAAGGTCGTCACAGACGAGTAGAACAAATCAGAGTCCGAGGACATCGAGGAGTAGAACACCCCCGCAGGTTAGCATCATTGGAATATGTTTTCATAGTAATATTTCTTGTTTTGTGACTGTAATATTAGTTATTTTTTGCAATATGCTGCAGGTTTGCGGAAAAGTCAAGATATGCAAGTTCATAGTGAGAGAAATGTTTGTCCTTACCTCCGTTGGGTCCCACCTAGCATGCATCCTCTTGTTAGAGGTTGGTTTGACCCAGAACCAGACGGACATTTTGGTTTTCGGGCCATGTCACATGCGATTCATGGAGACGATGGACACTACATGCAAATGAGAGAAGATCTTATCGTAGAAGTACAAAATTAGTTGAATATATACAAGGAAGCTTACAAATCTAGAGATGGAACGTTGGAGCAAGTACTTCACAGGTTGAATTGCCAGACCGCTGGGAGGTGCGACCGAGATTATTAGTTTGAGGAGGTGGATTTGTTGCATACGCAACCATGTACAGTCGGGAAATTGTTGTATATGGAGTGCAGGGGGAGCGAGAGCGCACGTATGGGTACACCACCTTACCTATGACGGCGCTGCCAGGGTTCACTCATCCTAGTTATGTTCTGCCAATGGCCTTTACTAGGATTCATTGGGTTCGACTAGTTCTCGACAATGTCAATGGGGTGACACCAATGCCATATTTTAGACCACAATGGACTCATTTTCGGAATATGAGCACAATTCCGCATTGGGATTTGTTATACCAACAGGAGCAGGAATTGTATGCCATCCTTGGAGGACATTATACACCCACTGACGATGAAGAGAATGATTAAACATTGTTGCCTTAGATTGATTACGTTATTGATGTTTTTAGTGTGTGTTTATGTTCAAAGTTGTGTGGATTTAGGTGCAATTATCAAGGATTGACATTTTGTGTTAAAATGTATGTGGTTTTAGGTGGAACTAATCAATGATTTTGTGTTCAAATTCACGTGGATTTAGGTGAAATTAATCAATTATGTTCAAAGTTATTTTTGCTGAAAAAACAGACGGGCCGGTTGAAAACCTGCCTGCACCACAGACCAGACATTTCACCAACCCATCTGCACCATGGGCTGAGCATGTTGCGCACCCACCTGACGGATGGTGCAGGAATATACCCTCCCAGCTCGGGTCGTGGACTAAGCATGTTACGAACCTGCCCTCCTGGAAGTGAAGGCATATATCCAACCCGCCCTCCCGGAGGTCGAGCCATATTTCCTACCCGCCTGATTGTTGTTTGTTGTGTTTTTGTTAGACATATAAGTAGTGGTTAAAAATTATAATTAGTATTTAAACACTCAAACATAACTCATCCAAATGTACCTTAACAAATATCCAACATCAATCTTAACAAATATCCAACATCAAAACATAAAATATCCAACGTCCAAATGTACCTTAACAAATATCCAACATCAACCTTAACAAATATCCAACATCAAAACACAAAATATCCAACATCCAAAACACAAACAAACTAGAACTCCAACATCTAAACAACAATGTTTAGCATTGAACAACTACTAGGTGAATGGGTGATACGGTCTCTGTTGCCTAAAGTCAACGTACTTGTCACGAACCCGTCAAACCAAATCACCATAGGGGCCCAACTTGTCAAGATCCTCATCAGGAGCACGAAGCAAGAGATAAATGCCATCAATAATCTGACGCGCTAGCTACAATGTCCAAGGAATAAACTTAAGTGTTACTAAAACGAAAAGGAAGAGATCACTATCAATAAACCAAAACGAAAAAGACTTCAAACTTACAATCTCATATGTCAATGGCGCCGACTTCTGCTGCTCATCATCTATGGAAGGGACAATGTGTAGGTGGGTGCGCTCTGTGTACCACTTAAGGTACAATGGGTCAACGTCTCTGGTGTCATTAAAAGGTGTAGAGAAGGCATCCAGATTGATCAACTGACCACGAGTCCCCCAAAGCTGATCAATCCCTGCTCCAAAGATGACCTTATAGGGCCCAACAGTAGGTCGACTGACATCACATGGTAGAATAACAGGATCAGGAATCACCTATCTGTAGCTAAACTAACGGAGGACCATGAGGGATCGTATGTCTCAGCAACATTGTAGACACGTATCACACCCCGATACAAAGATCTAGGCTCTGCACGACCAGGGTTAGCACCAAAAGGAAGCCAATCCATGTGGGCCGCTGTAAATCCGTCCAACAACCGACGATAATGATCCACCCTCCGCTGTAAATCCCCTCCACGAATAGGAACCTCCCACTTCCTAGCAAACGGGCCTCCCTCTGTCATGGGCTCCAGTGCACGTTTGTTGATGCGCAATGATGGAAAATACTCGTAGATCTAAGCCTGTAGCAAAGTCAAACACCCAGATTATCCCTCAGAACCTGCTCGACTAGATCTCCCAAGCTGCCTATACATCCAGGCAAGCGCACCAGAACCCCATGCATACTTACCAACCATCGCCAAATTTCTGAAGTAAGAGTATAACCATCCACGAACACAATCAGAAATCTTGGCCACAAAAAGTGTGGACCCGATCAAACACAGTAAGTAACACTGTGCCTCTGCACCCTTATCCCTCGAAGCACTTACACGTGCCATGGCCGCATCTACCAACATCCCACCACCCTCGTACCAACGGAGGGCACACGATGGCAGTGCCACTTCACTCTTATGAGAAATACCAAGAAGATCAACAATCCCACTCACGAACGACGGATCACCCCTAGCCGGTGCAGCCAGTATCTCACCATCCACTCGAATCTTGAAGATTTGAGTGCATAGTGATCGTCATCTCCCCAAACGGCATGTGAAATGTGTTGGTATCTGGCTGCCACCTCTCAATGAACGCCTCCAAAAGTGGGTAATCCACATTATGCATCATGCAACTACTCAAGTGGTCCAAACCTTATGCTCTAACCAAGCCCTGTGCACCTGGGGTCCCAAACACGTATGTCCTCAATCGATCCACTCCACCCTGTCGAGCGTAGAACTGGAAATCAGATATCACCCGAGATTCCAAACCCGATGTCCACGAGTGATGAGCTATGTGACCACCGAAACTAGGGATCAAACTGATATCCTTAGGCCTCCTGGAGCTTCTTTGTAAGTAGCCACGTCTCGTCCCTCGGTTTCTTCTTCCGTGAAGGCATGCTCCCATCAAAGGAAGAAGCAGAACGCCCATCCTTGCCACGTAGAGGCCCAACAAGAGTACTGCCATGGGTCGAGCCAGTAGACACATGATCACTCGAACCCGCCCCCGAACCACTGGAGCCACCTCCAAGATAACCGTCGAAAAGTAACTTATGAAAAGACAACTCATCATCACCCTCCACATCGCCCTCATCATCACTGCTATCGTCATCCTCCACCATGTCATCATATGTGTTGATGCCTAGTATCGGCTGTAAAACATGGCTAGGAGGGGGAGGATCCACTACAACTTGACGACGCGAAAGCTTCCCTTGACACTTCTCCTCACGAAGTCTATCTGACTCCTCTTGACGTTTTTTCCGCTCAGATACTATAACATTGCGTACGAAAACCCTCGACTTTTCCTTGCCTCTTCTTTCGCTCATTTTTACCTACTATCAAGAAAATAAAATTATTTCTTTTTAGGATTGTAATTGACAACCATACATTTTTTAACTATGCATAATAATTATTAAAAACCATAAAATTTATGAATTCCAATACTAATTATATTGTCAAATACTAATTATATTAATCATCACAAGTCATATACTAATTCTTACCCTTTCTTTCGCTTATTTTTACCAACAATCAAGAAAATAAAACTAATTCTTCTTAGTATTGTAATTAACAATCCTATATTCATTAACTATTTATAATCATTATTAATAATCCACAACTTTGTCAATTCAAACACGACTTATATTGTCAAATGCTAATTATAAAAGGTTATATACTAATTATAATTAACCATTCAAATTTATATATTATTCATTAAAATGAACATTCTAACCATTAACATTTGCATTTTAATTGAAAAAAAATCACAACAGGTCGGACGGGTTGGAAAACGGGTCAGACCAGGGTTAGGGCGGGTTAGAGACCGGGTCAAACTATGGTCGGGGCGGGTCGAAGACCTGATCAGACCAGGGTCGGGGCAGGATGCACGAGGGAGAAGCTGTGATGACGACTGTTAGAGTATGGCTCACCTAAAATTCTCTGGGGAGAAGCTGTGACAACGACTGTCTACACTATAAACAGAGTAATAGTTAGAAAGACATTGAATAAGACTCCCTATGAGATTCTGAAACAAAAGAATCCAAACCTGCGATACTTTCACCCATTTGGATGTAAGTGTTACATTTTAAATACCAAAGATCATCTGTATAAGTTTGATGCTAAGTCTGTAAAGGCTATATTTCTTGGATATTCAACAAAAGGTCAAGCTTACAGAGTTTACAACTTAAAATCCAAGAGAGTTGAAGAGTCTGTATTTGTTAAGTTTGATGACTCTGCTTGTCCTGAGAAAGTAAATGCAGGAAGTATGGAATTTCTGTTTCCTACCTCAAACGAGGAAAATGAGCAAGAGAAGGTGCATGCTTCATCAGAGGAAGTAAAAGAAGACGATTTTGTATCAATCGAATAGAAAAATGTTCCTGCACACATACAGAAGCGATATCCTTCATCTCAGATTATTGGAAATCTGAATGATGGTATTCACACTCGAAATAAATATCGACCAGGTCAGTATGCCTTTTTCTCCCTCTTAGAATCCAAGAATTACAAAGAGGCTTTGAATGATGATGAATGGTTGTGTGCTATGCAAGAAGAACTTATACAATTTGCAAGATTGCATGTTTGGGAACTAGTACCTAGACCAATTGATAGGCTGATTATAGGAACTAAGTGGATTTTGAGAAACAAAATAGACGAGGAAGGACACATAGCTAAAAATAAAGCTAGACTTGTAGCACAAGGCTACTCACAGGAAGAAGGAATTGACTTTGATGAATCCTTTGCTCCTGTTGCTAGAATTGAATCTATCAGACTCCTTTGTGCTTATTGATAAACCGTTAATTGCACATGTTTTTAACCCTATTCCTGAGCCGTTTGAGATGTTGATCTCGTGTTTTAGGCCGATTTCACGCTAGGGTGTGCTTGTTTGTGATATTTCAGGTCCTAGTACGTGAATGAAGGTTTGGGAGCAAGTTCGGGGTCGATTGGACGAAGATCGGGCGTGTGACGAGTCGCTGAGGAAGCCACACAGGCAGACATAAAACCCACATGGCCGTGTAAGGAACCAATGTGGCCGTGTGGGATTGTGCGAGCCTTTACACGGGCAGACTGGAGGCTCCACACGGCCGTGTGTCCCTGGCCGTGTAGGAAGCCTGAAATCTACTAAATCGGAACGCCGCATTTTGGACCTCACACAGGCATCTGGGTAGATCACACGGCCGTGTGGCCTGCCCGTGTGAGTCGGGAATTCTGGTTATTACCCAATTTCGAGCCACAAGTGAGAGAATCGACTTTTCAGAGCAAAAACAGAGTTTTAGAGAGAGAAAGGGCGAAGAACAAACCCTAGGAGCTATTTGGAGTGGATTTCTCACCATTGAAGCCCAGATTGCGTCCCTAGGAGTGAAGATTGACATCCCAGAGCAGATTTTCCTCATCTTTATGAGTATGACTACTCTGATTTCTGTTTTCCTCTCTCTCTCTCTATGGAGTAGAACCCTTCTCTCACTTGGGTATGAAGAACCCTAGTTCCATGTGTTAGGGATTTGATTGTAATGACTTGGGATGATTATACTGTTTGGTTTTAATCGAATG